GACCATGATGCACAGGGCGGAGCAATGCCCGTGCAACTCCGATACTGAATCCAGTGCGATGTCACAGTCTGCTCCTCTCGCCCCCGAAGCTCAGGAGGCTGATCGAGCGCGTCCTGAAAGTGCCTTCTGGAATCGCGGGCTCCCTACCGTGGCTGCCGCCGTCATTCAGATCCCTTCGCCGAGTCCCCTCGCGTTCGCTTGGGGCCTCCTGGTCAACGGCAGCGCGGTGGAAGGTGGAGCGCGGGGCCAGGACGGCTCAGGCGGCAAGTGGGCTAAGGATTGGAGGCTTCGACCATGCGGGCGGGCCATGGTCAAGCTCGATCCTGAAACTTGTCCTGGAGCTTTTAGATTCGAAAGAATGCTTTGTGGCAGTCCCGTCCCATGAGCAGTCTTGTCCGCATGCTGAGATGTACGCGTTCTTCCCGATGCTCGTTCAGACCACACGCGACATCGCGGCATATTCGGACTACCTCCCCTTGGTGCAGGCGCTCAGGCGGTCTCAAACCTACATCGCCCGAACGTCTCCAATGCTCGATCTAATGGAGTCTGATCTGGGCCCAGTTGGATCGGAGATCTGGTCGTGTCGAGCTGATCTGGACGAAGGCTCGTACGAGTGTGGCCCTGGGAGGTGCCTGGAGCTTGTCTGAGGAGGAACAATTTGTGAATGCCTGTGCTGACTATGTTGTTGGTGTGGCCGCTGCCAAAGGAGAGGTAGATCCTGAATATGTCAAGCTGATTGCCGATATAGATTTGCTAACCTCCCAAGTTTTTGTTTGCGCTTGTTGGATGACAACAGGGAGGTTAGCCTCATCTGCGCCCGCAATGAAGCCGATCGCGATGGCAAGCCGCCCCCTCGTCCGGAGGCGTTGCCGCGCGTTGCCTACCGACTTGGTGCGGCGCCTTCGCCTTCGGGGTGTTGGTCACTCTTTGGTCAAGAATGGAGGCTATTTGCGGTGCGAGGTGTTCCAACGCAAGTTGCCAGCCTACAGAGGCAAGATTTGCGACTTTAATCCTGGGCGGTGCGTGGGTAAGCCTCCAATGCGGGACGGTCCTGAAGCTGCCATAGCTCACGCTGGGTACCCCCGTGCGCATAGTTCCCACTCCCTGGATTGCCTCAGAGGAGTGCTGCTTTGCAGGGCCTGCGGGCGCCACCGTGGAAACGGTGCAATATTTGGCTGAGCAGTGCCCTCCTCAAGGCCCCTTTAAGGCGGGCCGCGATGTCTTGTCTCGCCTGTCGCGGGGGCTCCCATCCAAGAGTGGGCAATCCTTCCCGCGTGGACGTTGATAAGGAGGTTGGGTCCCTGTACCATCAAGGAACGCCCATGATTGCAAAGTCAAAGGTCCTCCTCCTCCTCCTCATCCTTTTCCTTTCTTCCTTCTCCCCGTCGAACCCCGAGGCCGGTCGAAAAGGTGTGCCGAGCACTTCGCCTGAGACCTCCGCACCATTTACGATCCTGGCGCACTTTTGTGTAAACAAAAAACAAAAACAACTAACACATGGAGAGCGGGCCGTTTCCTTAGCGCCGCGCACATTGGCTTTCGAACATGCGCGAGTTTCACGGATGGAGGGCGGGCCGCTTCCAAAATGTGGCTCTCGCCTTGGAGCCGCGCATATTGGTTTTGACAAAATGGCAAAAAAACTCACGGATTGGAGGCGGGCCGTTTTCACAATGTGGCTCTCGCCTTAGCGCCGCGCACACTCGTCTCAAAAATTACAAGGGCTCACGGATTGAGGCTGGCTCCTTTTCAGAAAATGGCTCTCGCCCAAGCGCCGCGCTCACTCGCTTGAAATCCGCCGACCCTGTCGGCGTGTGTGAGGGGCTTCTCCGTTCGACTCGTCGTCTCCGTCGTCTCCGTTCTCTCCCTCCCAGGGCTCTCCTCCTCAAGCGCGCTATCCAAAGCGAAATTAAACGACGTCGTAGTGGAGTCGAAGGGAAGCCCCTTCCCTTTTGATCCTTTCCCGCAGGGGGAGGGGGGGGGGGAGGGGGGGGGGGGGGAGGGGGGGGGGGGGCCGGGGGCAGATACGACGCCCGCCGGGGCGCACTTTCCTCGAGCGGGCACGCACGCATCCTCCTCCTCCTGGGTCCTTCTCCTCCTCCTCCTCCTCCTGCTCCTCTCCTCCTCCTCCTCCTCCTCCTCCTCCTCCTCCTCCTCCTCCTCCTCCTCCTCCTCCTCCTCCTCCTCCCGCAGAGGCGTCCTGGGAGCGGGCCCCGAGTCAAAATACCACCCCCCTGGGGCGCATTTTCCTCGAGCGGGCACGCCCGAGATGCACTTCTTCCTCTTCCGGGAGCACGTCCCAAGTCCGAACATCACACTCTCGGGGCGCACTTTCTTCGAACGGGCACACAAAGGATGCACTCCTCCTCCTCCTCCTCCTCCTCCTCCTCCTCCTCCTCCTCCTCCTCCTTCTCCTCTCCCTCCCCCTCCTCCCCCTCCCCCTCCTCCTCCTCCTCCTCCTCCTCCTTCTCCTCCTCCTCCTCCTCCTCCTCCTCCTCCTGCTCCTCCTCCTCCTCCTCCTCCTCATCCTCCGCTTCCTCCCCCCACTCCTAGCCCTTTCGATCAGGGTCGGCGGCACCAGCCGTCAGGCCTCTCCAATAATAAAAGTTTCACGGATTCGCACGGCTAGTGTTCCAGAAAAACTGTTTGGAAACGGTTCAGGATTGTCACGGCGCAACAGTTACTTTGATTCACTGTTGTTGACGTCCCAGGGACGTTCTGGTACGATTCAGCGTCGCCGAGACGAAACATTCAAGCTGATTCGTGGCGTTGGGGTCCCAGGAATGCTGTCTTGGCACGCTTCAGGATCTTCTAACGGTTTGTCTCCCAACGGGACACTTCCCCCAGTGGAACTGAATCCGTGTAGGGGCCTATGAAGAGGGAGCTTGGAGGGAGGGTTCATTCCGACATCGTTGATGAGTCTTGGGTTTACGCTGGTCCTCCTCCTCCTCCTCCTCCCCCTCCTCCTCCTCGTCCTCCTCCACCTGATCCTCCTCCTCCTCATCCTCATCCTCATCCTCCTCCTCTTGCTCAGGAGGCTCTGCAGGAGAAGCATGGCCACCAAACCCTACTATGCACAAATGTATTCGGTTTTTTGTCGGCGGTACCACCAAACCCTATCACACACAGGCTTTTACTCCGGATGTCTGGTCTGGGATACCGCTAAATTCGAATATACACATGTCATGTTGTAATTTGGGAGTTCCAGGAGGCCCGCAAACTTGGACAAGAAAGCGTGCGGGAGGAACGTGGCCATCAAATCCTACTATACACAAATTTGTTTTGTATTGTTGGCCTGGGGTACCACCAAGCCCTACCAAATACAGGTTGATTGTTTTCTTGTTTTCAGTGGATCCACAAACTTGGCATGGCCAAACTCTGTGGTGTATACATATATGTAAACATATAAGAGTATATGTATGTATAGATGTAACGACCCTGATCTCTATATCTATATATATATATATGCACAACATATACATACATATACACATATAACTACCATCGATATCCTGAACTATCTGCCTAACAACTGCGGGGCAGCCAAAGGACAACCACAGGACAACCGCGGACAACCACAGACCAACCACGAACCACGGAACAACCATGGAACGATCACAGAAAAAGCGCGGGACAACCACAGAACAACCATGGGACGCGCACGGGAGAACCACAGGACAACCACAGAGCATCGACAGGACAACCGCGGGATGATCACAGGACAACCAAACAGCAACCGCGGAGCAGCCATCGTTGCAGCCACAAACCAACCACGGGGCAACACTCGGAACGACCATCGCCAACAACCATCCGAAGCAACCAACGAGCAACCACAGAACAACCACGAGACAAGCACATAGCCATATCGGGCCAACTATCGGGAAACCCATCGAAACTGCTGTCTAAACAGCCACCGAAATCACCGCGAAACAAACACAAGACAACGGCAGAACACCCACGAGACCGCCGTCGCAATACAAACAGAAAACGAAATCAAAAGCGAAATAACTACAATACACGGTGCAACAACGGGCAACCACGGAACAACCTCGGGACAACCGCTGAACAACCGCTGGACAATCGCGGGACGACCACGGAACAGCACCAAAGGATACCGACGGGACAACCACAAAAAAACAGCGGCCACAGAACAATCGCGGGAACACCACACGACAACTACAAAACAACCACAAGACATCCACTGGCCAACCGTTGGACTAAAATCGAACAACCGCTGGCAACAAGCAAAGCAACCACAGGACACGGGGCAACAACGGAGCAACCAGAGGACAACCACGAAACAAGCGCGGGACAACCACGGAAAAACCGCGCGACAACCGCGGGACAACCACGAGACAACTATCGGGGCAATCATCGGGGCAACTGCAAAACAACCATGGGCCAACCAAGGGACAACCAAAGGACATGCACGGGTCCATGGGACGACAATCGGGACAACCGCGGAACATTCGAGGGACAACCACGGGACAACCGTGGGACAACCATGGAACAACCACCAGACAGTTACAGAACAAGAGTATTGGCACGAACATGGGTATGGAACTTGAGCCCGCGACCGAATCTCATCTGAGTGTCGGAGTCCAAGCTTTAGTCTGCGTGTACGCCTGCGACCGAGTCTGAATCTGCGGGTTCGAATACGGTTTGGGCGTCAATTAGTGCATTTCGAATCGAAATCTGAACCTGGCTGTTGATCCACATCTGAAAGCACGTAATACCAGTCGCACGACTGGCGCTCGGCGCGCCAGGAAGTGAACACATTGTGGGCGGCAAGGCCTGCTTGGCGGAAGGTTGAGGATGTCACTGCGGTAGAGAGTAGAGACGTGTTCATCTTGGCCGGTTTCTGGAAAGCAGAGGGGCATATGAGGAGAAATATGGAAAGAGAGAGAGAGAGAGAAAGAGAGCGACACAGGGAGGGAGAAAGGGAGGGGGAGCTGAAGGGGGGAAGAGGGGACCCCAGCAACTACCTGCGACGGGTGCCACTCCTTGACCTTTTCAGGGTCGTTCAGGATATCTCGGCCCGACTCACAGATGCAGTCCATCATTACCTGGCATTGCGAGCTGCCAAAGATGTCAAACTTATCTGCCGCTCCACATGCCTGCCTGTCCTCCTACATATCCTCGAAATATTGACCCGCCTCCCTCCCCTCCCAACCCGCCAAACCGTCCTGGCGTGAACAGTACCACGCAAGAGTGCCATGGCAAGTTGAACGGGCGTCGCCGCACCTCGGTGACCGACCAACCAGAAAGTTCGAAGCACTTCGGGGCTAAATTTCGTGTTCCCGCTCGCGGCTCGCAGTGAGGACACGGCTCAAAACTGTACTTACCGTTGGACTGCCCGACGCTGGGAGTGAAGGGTGATGATTCCAAAGATCTTTGGGGAAAACGGCGCTCTCACCACCCAGTTCCTCGACATCCTCATTTTCCTCCTCATCATCACTATGCTTCACGCCCCATCCAATGGCACCGAGTACCGCACCCGTCAGCTCGGCATCGGATGGGGTGACGCCCTCCCCGTGCGTGAACTGGACACAACAAAAACACAGACACACACACACACACACACACACACACACACACAAACACGCACACGCGCACTCACACACACACACAAACACACACACACACACACTCAAACACACACACACACACACACATACACACGTTCGAAGCCGGCGGCACAGAGGAGCCCCAGGCGCGGTCGGCAGGTGGAGGTGCCAATTGCGATCGAACATAGTCGAACGCGCCATGACGAAAGAATCTGGTCACGGCCATGCAAGTCGGTGGTGGACAGAGCGGGAAGCGATCAAGACCAAATTGCAGCGGCCTGAGAACCCGCAGAACAGAAGCTCGACGCGGGAAGTCTGAATCGCAAACACACACACACACACATCTCACATCCCCCCTCTTCAAGATCCTCCTCGTCCTCGACTCCTCGACTCTTCCACGTTACCCCCTTCCCAGACGGGATCGGGCGTTGCAACCATATCCTGAAACCTGAGAAGACAAATCGGAACAGGAAGGCACTCCCTCAGCGCCGACAGCAACGCAATGCGTTTGTCACCGAGAGCCGATGACAATCTACATACATGCCCTAAGGAGCCCAATCTAGTCACCATCAGCACCTCCCTCCTCGAATACCTTGCTGTCTGCAAAGCATACGAAAGGTTCTCTCCTGGAGCACGTTATGAACATACGATTTCGAGACAGACCCAGCCGCGGCGACCCAGTCCCCCTAGAAGCTCCGAAAGCAATGAAAGCATCTCAACCGCATCCCCCCTCCTCCTCCTCCTCCTCCTCCTCCTCCTCCTCGTCCTCCTCCTCCTCATCAACATCCTCATCCTCATCCTCATCCTCATCATCCTCATCATCCTCATCATCCTCATCATCCTCATCATCCTCATCCTCATCCTCATCCTCATCCTCATCATCCTCATCATCCTCATCATCCTCATCATCCTCATCATCCTCATCATCCTCATCATCCATCATCATCCTCATCATCATCATCATCATCATCATCATCATCATCTCCATCATCATCATCATCATCATCATCATCATCATCATCATCATCATCATCATCATCATCATCATCATCATCATCATCATCATCATCATCATCATCATCATCCTTGTCCCTCCTCCACCACCTTCTCCTCCTCCTCCAAAGGAAGAGGAAGCCTGGTACAGCCCTGCAGCCCACCGAGCTAGCTACCTTCCCACTGTGCACGCCGCTGCCGTGCCGCGGCCAGCCGCGCGGCGCGTCCCCTCCTTCCTGCCTCGAGCGCGGAGCGTGCGGGAGGCACTGGTGGCGCATGTTGCTGGGCCCTGGATGCATCACGTCTATCTTGAGCTCTCAACCACCACAGAAGAAAACGAGACATCTGCATAACACACCCAGAGCGATGCCATCCTCGCAGACGAAGCAACTCAGCAATCGATCCGTCGACGCCCAGAATCAATCAGTACGGAATCGGAAGTCGGATCGGAACGTGCGCCGGATCCGCCTTCATCGGTACGGAGCCAAAATCGAACCGGAACACCTACGTCAGGATGCATCACAGCACCATGCAAGCATCGGGCAGCATCAAATCTTTGGAAAATCGAAATCGAATCGTATTGAACCTGCCGAGATCGATATGGAATCGGAACGACCGAATCGACCGGATCGGCCTGGACCCTGCAGAGCTGCCTTCCATCCTTCTCTTCATTCCCATGCCTCTCTCTCTATCCCTCCCCCTCTTCCTCTCCCCCCTTCTCTCTCTCTCTGCAGCATGGTTCTGGAACCGAACTGAACCACCCGAACTGAACCGGGACGAACCGAACCGGCGTGAACCAGTAATGATTTCAACTCGAACCGAACCGAACAGAACCGGTCGTCTTCGATGCCCGAATCGAACCGAACCGATCCGGCCTCGATTTTGATGCGGTGATGCGGAGCCGGACCGAACCGCAACGACCGAATCGGACCGTACCAGAAACGGAACCGGACCGAACTGGAACGAACGAACCTCCACGTCAACTCGACGAATCGTCGTCCAGGCCTCTGGGAATCGCTATAGCGCCCGGCACCCCCCGTGACCCCCGTGACATATCCCCCCTGGGGCAACTGTGACCCCTGTGACCCCTCCCCCGCGGGGCCCCCGCAACCCCTATGACCCCTCCCCCCTGCGACCCCTGTGGCCCTGCCCCCCCGTGACACCCGTGACACCCGTGACCCCTCCCCCCCGCGACCCCTGTAACCCCTCACCCGCGGGACCCCCGTGATCCCCGTGACCCCTCCCCCTCGGGGTCCCCGTGACGCATGCGACCCCTTCCCCCGTAGCCCACGTGACCCCTCTCCCTATGACCCCCGTGACCCCTTCCCGGCGGGGCCCCTGCGTTCCTGTGACCCTTTTCCCGGGACACCCATGACGCCTCCCCCGCCGCAGGCCCCCCCGTGACCTGTGACCGCTCCCCCAGGGGGCGTGACCACCGCGGCCCCTACCCTAGCGGGACCCCCATGACCCCCAAACCCTTCCGCACCAGAACCCCCATGACCCCTCTCCCGCGCGCCCCCCCGTGACCCCTGTTTCCCCTCCCCCCCCGTGACCCCCGTGACCCTTGTGACTCCTCCCCCGCGGGACCCCCCGTGAACCCAGTGACCCCTCTCCTGGGAACCCCCGTGAGCCCTCCCCCGCGGGGCCCACCCTCACCCAGCGACCGCTCCCCCACGGAGCCCCCGTGACCCTCGCGAAACCCCCCCTCCGGAAGGTCCCCAGTGACCCCCGCGATCCCCAGTGACCCCCGTGACCCCTCCATGGCCCCCGTGACCCCTTGTGACCCCTCCACCGCGGGGCCCCCGTAACCCCCGTGACCCGTGACCCCCCCCCCGCGGGACCCGTGACCACCGTGAACCCCCCCTGCCAGGGACCCCTGTGACCCTCCCACGCGGGGCCCCCAGAGGCACCCCCGTGACCCTTCCCCCGCGGGGCCCCCGTGACCCGGGACCCCTGTGACTTTCGCGGCCCTTCCCCCGCGGGGCCCCCGAAGCCTTCCGGGAGACCTGGGGGCCCCGTGGGACCTCGAAGCGACGGCAGCGACGATGAGGAAGAGGCGGAGGCACAGCACGACGACAACGACGACAAAGACGACAAAGACGACAAAGACGACGACGACGACGACGACGACGACGACGAGAAGGCAGGCAGCGAGGCACCTTGCCGCTCGACGAAGACAAAACTCGCTGGGCGGTCCAGTAGGCGATCTGGCAGAAACAGAAACCGGACCGAACCGGAACAAGAACCGAACCGAACCGGAAATCTAAATGCGACCGAACCGAACCGAACCGGAATGATTACGACACCGAACCGAGCCGAACCGGAATGATGACGACACCGAACCGAACCCAACCGAACCAGGAAACGAACCGAACCAGAACTTTCCTGTCTCTGTGTGCTTTATCTATGTACACACCTAGAGAGAGAGATACTAGAACCATCGCGCGCTTCGCGCGCGATCAAGTTCTAGCTAAGGTCATGATGATCGTCATCATTGTCATCCTCATCCCCGTCATTTTCATCGTCATCGTCACGGTCATGGTCACCTTCACCTTTACTATCACAACAATCATCATTTATCACCATTATCATCAGTATCGTGATCACCATCGCCATCATCGTCATCGTACTGTTCAGCATCATCGTCCGCATCATCAACATTTTGTTGGTCGTCGTCGGCGTCTTCGTCGGCATAGTCATCGTCATCATCGACAGCGACATCGCCGTCATCATCCCCGGTCCACTGCAGTCCCTTTACCCTCCTCCTCCTCTTCCCGTTCTCCCTCTTCCCATCATCTTATACTCATTTTCCTCGTCGACATCTCCTTGAAAGGGATCCCTGTTCCTTCACCTCCTCCTCCTCCTCTTCTTCCTCCTCCTTCTCCTCCTCCTCCCTGTCTTCCCCGCTCTTCGTTGTGTGTCCCTCCCTTTGTTCCTTCACCTACTTCACCTCCTTCCTCCTCTCGAGCCCTCTTCATCCTGCGCTCTCCTTCCCTCCTCGTCCTCAGCGTCCCTCCCCGAGCCATAGAATCAGAGAACTAGATAACCTTACAAGAACAATGTCCCTCCTCCTCTTCCCCCTCCTCTTCCCCCTCTTCGTCCTCCTGATTTTCAACCCCCTCCTCCTCCTCCTCCTCCTCCTCCTCCTCCTCCTCCTGCTCCTGCTCCTGTTCCTCCTCATCCTCCTCATTCTCCTCCTCCTCCTCTCCCACCTCCTCCTCCGCGGCCTCCTCCTCCTCCTCTTCTGCTTCTGCTGCTTCTTCTGATGATTACTCTGTATTCTTATTATTCGTAGTATTAGTATTATTAGTAGTAGTCTTTCTATTACTATTATTAGGACTATCCCTGATAATTGTAGTACTACTACTACTACTACTACTACTACTACTACTACTACTACTACTACTACTACTACTAAAAATAATAATAATAATACTGATCATAATAATAATAATAATGATAATGATAATGATACTGATAATGATAATGGTAATGATAATGACGAT